ACAGTGCATGATATTACGCGTGTGCAACTTAAGGAAGACTGTTATAAAATTTGGCACTGTGTTAATTAATATATATATTTATAATATTCGAAATTGGTTGAAAAGACAAAATCTCCACAAAATGATAAGAATTTTTACCGATGCTTTTCATGTAGCAATTATACATGAAAAGTTTGGTTGTCAAACTACATAATATCTATTTAAATATGCAAAATTTGTAAATTTGGCTTTATAAAAAGTTTACAAACACATGCATATCGCGATTTTGTATGCGTAATCATCGAAACGTTACGTGAAACTTTTTCTTTATGATCGATATGATTTCTTTTTTCCTAATAAGAGAGTATTCAATGGATTCTTGACATTTGTCATGAAAATTAAAATTCGCAGATGTGTCGGAATATAATGTTTAATATTTAAATGTAATTAGGCAATGGAATGTACACTCGAATTGTGAGAAAAGAGACGATCAAGTGCACGATGAGAGTCGAGTGGTCAATTATTTATTCACGAGAGCTTTACTCATGAATCTCAAAGTTTCTCTCTCTAACGAAACTCAAGTATTACGAAAGGATGTAAATCTTTGAGATGGCATTTTTCTCTTTACATATTTACGTTGCTCGTAATATAACACCGATAAATATTTCAATAAACTCAATATCGCGCAAACAATCGTGCAAAACGTGTTATTATGATAGAGATGATCCGATTGATCATTGAGAGAGATATAATTGATATCGGTCGCACAAATTCATGTATCCGAACCGTAATAAATATCTCTATCCTCAAAGTTATTTTACATTTTCCTTAGCAATTCGGTTAAACTCAGAGCAACGCGTGATTAATTATCGCAGTCGATAGCAAATCGATCAATTCAGACGCATTCCTTAGATTATGGCACTTAAATCTCGTATTAACTTGCATTAATAAATTTAACAATTTCAAAGTATATTATAGATACTTTTCCGATTAATGATAATATTAATAATAATGAGATAAAATAATATTGCGATAAAATTATAATAAAATTATCATCGTATCGCATATTTGCAACATCGTGCAAATTATCACCATTTATATTTATACTTACTTTTTATTAATTTTCTAGATTAAAAAAAAGTTAATAACTTACAAATTTGATAACTGTTTTAATAAGTAACTTTGCATATTCTGCTATTTCTGTCATTCCGTTAGACTAAATTAATAAAACGTATTACGTAATTTATACGTTTAATAGGGTCAACATAGGTTATCTTGCTAATCATACAATTAAAATCTCAACATATAAATATCACAGCCATTTAAACAGCGTAAAATATACAGCACTAATAACATTATTTACACATAATCGTTATGTTAAGATGATTATAATTCTAAGGATGGAGATTTGAAATTCTCTAAACGCAAGATACTTCCGAGTAAATTTTCCGAACAGCAAATGATAATTATATATATATATACACAGCATACATATCGTATTACGATCACACGTTGCTCGTAGATTATCGTTGTCCATAGCACATACCGTCAAGGATTGTAATTAAGGTACGCTGATATACACATACGTACGCAAATCACCCACGTTACATGCATATAAATTTATAATAATGTAGGTAATAATTGTCTAAGTAAGGCTGATTAAACGCATTTTTATCCCCTCATAACGAGCCTCCCTTTTTCACTCTTTCCTTCCCGTTTTTATATCGATCGATTTTATGTTGTTGCAGAAATCGCACATATAAAATCACAACACACGATATAAAAATCAAAATATATTTCATTTTCCCTTAAACTCTGGGTATTTGAAAATGATTCTCGATAAAGAGAAAGTAGAATAATTAAAGAGGGAAAAGAAATATAAGTAAGAGAAGAAGAAGTCTTTAAGTATTTTCTCTCCTTAGAGTTTCGTATGATTAAGCTTTGGATTGCTTAAGAATTTTATTTCTTGAGAGAATAGCTCCGTATAAAAACTTTCGGGCAAACTTTGAAGTGCGAATATATATATAACTTTCATTCGATAATTATTATTCGAACTTTAGTTTTAAGAGCACATCTTCGATATACAATGAAACGTTCCAAATTGCGATTCTCAAAAGTTTTGAAGACAAAGATTTAACTCTAAATTATATAATTTTTTTTATCGCGATATTATTTTTGCTTATCGAGTGATTTTTTCTCTGGATTCGTTTCCGGTAGGGAGGCTCGGAATCTCCTTGACGAATCTCTCGTCTAGCTCGAGATCTCGCGTACCCGCGCAAATACGGGAGTAAATGTATCTCAATGGTTATCGAAGTCGCCCTAAACGTTACAAATCCGTAACAAATTTACAGAGGTGTTCTAAATCAACGTGGCAGTAGAATAATGTTCCCCCTCGGCCGCGGAGAGCGCCGTAACTCGAGCAGCATGACTCGAAAATCGCGCCGAACTCACTTGATTTTCCTGAAGCTTTTATATTTGTTCGTAGTAAGAGCACTTAATCGCTACGTTTTCTTTTAAACTGAGCTACCCCCATCGCGATGTTTCTCTTTCTTTCTCTATTTCGGGTTACCGCGACCTCGCAGCACGACGGGATCAGTTTACCAGAGATTTATACTGATACTTCTTAAGGATAATCTCTTACATGGTAATCATTATTCAGCGTGAATATCATACAGATGACATGAGCCCAGTCCCGCGAGATTTGCACGCGTTTTTCAAGTTCGAAGATTGATATCGATATAACTTTCAGAAATTAACAAATTTCGTGACAGATCTTGAAACGTAAAAAATCGATTTAAAAAATTTTTTAAATTTTATTAATATTAAAAGCAATAATATTTTATCTTATCTTGAATCTTCCTGAATTTTTCACTCTTGATAGTTAGAAGTTTTCAAATATTTCGTCTTTGTTAAAAACATGTTAAAATAATATCTTATTTATAAAAACGGATTGACAGAAATACATTTTTTCAAAATCATATCGGTTTCAATCGTCGCTTTCGGAAGAATGCAAGAAGAATTGAATTTCTTCCTCTTTCTTTGCATTCTTCGTTTCTGTCGCTCTAGCAAATTCCGTGTTTTGACCTAATTGTCGAAAATTTCAGATATATCGGGATGCTCGTGGAGTTGCGATAAATGTTAAAAAAATGTTCACATCTAGTAAAGGCTATTCTCGATGATTTATAAATATTAAAAAAACCGCTGCCGCATATATATATTTTTTTTTTTTTTGCAAACGTCCCATGCGAGAAGAACGATATCTCGCTCCATTTTTCTATTTTTTTTCTTTTTACGTGGTTCGATGGATTCACGCGCTGTGCATCGATTTTAGAGGCGTCCTTTTTTCCTTCATTCTTGCGTTTGGCTATGGGAAAATGAAATATTCGATACGACTGTCTCGAAATACTGCCTACGAAGGTGACGACGATCCTTGATTATCGTGGAGGAATGAAAGATTACTTGCGGTTCTGTTTTAAATCTCTCGTCGTTGACCAAACGAACAAACGATGTTCAACAAACGACCATATGTGGAAGCGGAAGTCGGAAGCAGTGATGTAAGTGATGGCTTTAGTTGGTCCCGAACATGAGTTAGTAGAGAGTTGTGCAAGAATCATAATTACTTATGATTAACAGCTGATATTGCTTTCACAAATTAATCGAAATAACGATTTCAGTAAAATCAATCATTTTAATTATTTTGAACAAAAATACAAAACTTGTTAATAAAAAAAAAATAATATCAAAGTTATTTTCTTAACAGATTATTAAAAAGCCTTCTCTATTTTTCTTTTGAGGGACAAAGCGAATTTTAATTGATTATGCCAATTATGAACACATAAAGACAAAAATGATTTATTATTGGTAATGAAGCAAATATTAATGATTAAAAAAATTGCAACATAGTAATTATAATTTTTGCACAAATCCCCTTCAAGAGTCGCGCATCGAAACGTGTCGACCGTTGCGTCACGGATCTCAGCTCATGGCAACACTACGCGCGTCGAACGTAATGTAAAACACGCTCTCCCTTCCTCTTTCTTCCTCATTTGACTCTGCGTCTTGACTATTACAAGCTATCTAATTAATTAACCTATACGGACCTATAATGTATGGATCAATTATATCCTGTGGCAGTTATTTACAGTGCGACTCGCGCCGCGGCCTCCTGATGTCTGCGCCATCGATTCATTTTTAGGTAGAACGGCTGACTGTCGCAATTTCAATGGTGCCGATTGAAAATTCAACATTGTCGAGTCAAAGTCAAACTCAGAAAACTCATAATCCAGCTGGAGAAGAATGCTGGAAATTACTTCTAAATTACTTTCACTCGCTCCAGTCGATAGTTGATAATTTACAAGAAGCTGTGAATTGAGGTTCCTGGCTTCTCGCCGACCAAGTTGGAATTGTGATGTCAGAAGCGAGAAAACAGACGCTAAAAATTCTTAGATGCCATTTCGAAATAAAAAGATATTTCGATGAAACAGCACTTCGGGTGGCTTTAGCATACTCCTTAAAATACCTCGACAACTATCCTTTTCTTTTTAAATCAACCGACAGCTATAAAATGTAATATGAGTCCGTCTGTTCTTTGAACATGCGTAAAATCATTCCGCATGACGAAGTCTGATATCACGATCATTTTACGGTTGTTGACTGACTGTCAAAGGAAAAGTATAGTTTTCGAGGTATTTTCAAAGTGTGCTAAAGCCATTAGGAATAGATATAAAAATGACATCTAAGTATTTTCAGTGTGTTTTTTCTCACTTTTGATGTCACACTCCAACATGGCTGCAGCGAAAATTCAGGAGCCTTAAGGGGATGCTGACTAGGTCTATTTTATTGACAAATATTTTCGTTTAACTCTTTATTGGCTATACAGAATAAAAAATCCTTTACTAGAATTTAAATATTCATAATAACAAATCTGGGCTACTACATATGTTTCTTTTTATATACACATATAATATCCCAGATTTGTTATTATGAATACTTAAATTCTAGTAAAGGATTTTTCACTCTATATAGCTAATAAAGCGTTAAATGAAAATAATATTTGTCGATAAAAAACAGACCTAATCAGCATCCTCTTAATGAAGAAAATTGCCATTCCATAAGCAACAACGAGACGATCCTTTCTCAATTTTATCCCGCAAGTCACAGGCCGCGGCCCGGTCGCATCTATCCTTATAATATCGTCTATTTACAGGAACAGCACGATCATATAATTGAGATATCTGGCGCTAGTGGTACCGTTGAGCTTTGTGCCGCCGCCGCCGTTTTCCTCGTCGTTCTCGCTGGCAGTGTCGCCCTTCGTCTCGACGATGGTGTCGAGCCTCTCCATCATACCTCGCTGGGGTAGATGGTTGCTCGAGCTCTCGCTCTCGGGGGTCTCGTCGGAGTCGACGTCGATCGTCCGATCGTTCACCTGGATCTTCACCACGGCGTCCACCGGATACCTGCTGTTACCCTCGTCACTGGAAGACGTCGTCGCGCCTGTCGTGCCACCAGATTCGCCGGCGAGGCTCGAGGCGATTCCGCCCTCTCGCTCGCAGCGCGGACAGATCTGACCGTTGGACGAGCCCTCGTCGCTCTGACAGCGGAAGCAGATCAGGTCGCCCTCGCTGGAGAAGTCGCAGTGCTCGCAGTGCACGACGACGTAGCCGTTACCTCGGCAGAGCTCGCAGATCGGGCTCTCGTCGCGGTCTGTGAGCAAATTCACTGGTTAGCCATGATGGGTTGCCTCGTCTCGCGTCGTCTAAGATCGTCGGCCCCTTGAGAGGCAACCTCCGACAGCGGAATTAAGTGTCGCCTCGGAGATCGCGTGAAACGTCAGCGAGAGATATGCGAGTGCAAACAGCGGCGAATAGTGCGGTTGCAAACAGGCAGTAGAAAAATGCAGTGCGTGCGAAAAAAAGGGAATAGAAAAATATTATATAATATATGCTTATATAACAGGAGAGAAAAATTGCTTTGCAAGCGCATTGCTGAGAAACAAAATAGCTATATTAAAAATGATAACAGCGATCCTTTTCTTAATAAAATACTCGAGGATTTTAATATAAAAAAGGAGAAATATAAATATTCTAAAAAATCTAAATTATCGAAAAAGTATTTCATAATTGCAAGAATAATGCGAGTGCGAAAAATCGAGGATCGGTTTGTGTGTACCAGATTGTGAGAAAAAACCACCAAAGCCATCGAAATTAATGAAGCAAAGCGAACGAACTTGTTCAATCCTCGGACCAGAACTGGTCGAGGTACTCGCCTCTGTTGGCGTCACCTCGATCGTCCGTGTCCCTGGCGGTCCATCCGCGCTGATGCAGGTCCTGCGTCCTGTAGGATCGAGGTGACGTTACCGTTTGCTCGGACTCGTGGTGGGATCGGGGCGACGACATTTGCTGAGCCACGCGATCTTGATCCGACGTTTGGTGGGACGAGCGTGGGGAGGTCAGCTTCACCGGGCTTCTGTAGGCACGAGAGGTTCCTGGTTCCTGATGCCGATGATCGTCCATACGCTCCTCGACGTATCGACCGGCGTGCGAGCCAGGTGTTTGTGGTGGTCGGTAGGTGCAGGGACGCGTCTTCTGATCGCACTCGCTGCACAGCAGCAGATTCGACTTGCTACCGGGTTGCGAGTCGTAGCCGTTACAGGTACCGTAGTAATGCTCCTCCTCGTCGCTGTCGAACAGGTGCTGGCTCAAGCTACCGATCGACTTTGAATCGCTCAAGACCCTAGTGTCATCCGGCTTCTCTTGATCATCAGCGTTGTGCCTACCAAAAGTTCGATCATTTTATCTCGCGTATAGCATATATTTGCTATTTCTACATATTATATAATATATTATAAAATATATAATATATATAATATATTATACAATATAATGTATATATAATATATATTATATAATATGTCATATATTATAATATATATAATAAAAAATTATATCAATCTGAATAGATAAGTTAACATTGAGATTAATGAGAGAGAAAAATCTGTGAAATCACCTGGTATCGGTCGCTTCGACAATATAGTGATGTATCCGCTCGATCTTGGTTTTGCCGCGCTCTCGCGGCATTGTTTCTCGTTAAATAATGCTCTCTCGGTTCCTTTCATTGTTGTCCTCGACGCTCGAGGTCGAGCTCGCCCCGCAGATCTGCATCTCGATTTCGGCCAGCCGGTGCTCGACCTCCCACTGCTGCTGATTCAGCTTCACGCTCATCGCCGCGTTCTCGGTCTCCAAACATTTCAAACGCTCGCGCAGACGCTGAATCTCCGACAGCAGAGCCTCGTTGCCGAACAAAGGTGTCGTGCCCTCGCTCACCAGCTGAGTCATACTGTTGCAGGTCATACCTGTATGAAAGAAGGACGTGTCGTGTAGAGATCACGTTTGCGTTTTCCCTCAAATTACATCAACAATCTTTTTGATTCTCAAGTGCATTATATAATACATTGCAAATTATATACATTATGTACAAATATATCTATATTATATAATTTAATTTAACAGTTAATTGGTAAATATATTATTCAAAAACAAATATATAAACGGATAGGTGGAGATATTACGAGCGAGGATAATATAAATTCACGAGATCGTTGGTAAATGCATTTATTCTATGTCTTCTATCTTATATGAAGATCGCATTTCAACGCGAGACATTTAACGTGTTTTGCGTGCGCAATATACGGTACTCTTGTCTTCTCTATGATCTGTTATTTCTAGAATACAAGTACGTGCAAATTATCAATTTGCGTTGAAAGTTGTATGAAAGGCAAGAAACGCGAGTTGAAACGTCGACGTGTACGAATGCGAAATGAATTCTCGAGGACGAGTCTTTGTGATTCGCTGATGTTAATTAATACGCGTGCGAATAGAGTATCTCTTTCTCCTAATTCGCGTTGTAATAGGATTCGCATATAAGATGAAGCGTCGCATAGCAAATGCTGATACAATGTACGGATTAGCATCGGCAAACTGCTGATTAATTTACAAATTACCGGTTGCGGTTGCACGCATTCAAGGTTCGATTACTTTAAAAGGAGGAGAAATTCGACATCGACCGAGAGATTTATTTATTTTGATTCTCAATGCAAAATTCAAAATCACAGGCTATTTATAGGAGGATAAATGTGTTGCCCACATTTTTCACGCATATCGAAAAAGCTGCGATATTTCAGCGGTTAAATCGCTATCAGTTTTCGATTCCAATTATTAGTATCCCCGGCTTGTTATCGCCGACAGCGAAATCTGTCGCTTTAATCGCGGTTTCGCAAAATTATCCACCGAAATACCCTGTAAACGGCAAACGCTCGATTATCGTGGAATTTCCATTGCGAGAGAACGAGGAGGGGGCCGGGCGGGATTTTATTTCCCAAACGACATATAAACGTCGGCGCGAGAAACACGTTAAATCGTTACTACCTATCGTATCTATCGGGGTTAATGGTCGGGCGCTATTTTACGAGTGGCGCCGAGCGTCGCTCGTCATTCATTTATATATCGCGCGTGATATTTTGGAATTTATCTTTTTTCCCTCTTTTTTTTTTGTCATTTTACAGCATTGCCGACGAAGCATTGATCGCTCGAGCATTCCGCTCCAGGCTATTTGCGTCCGGTTGGATTTGATTTGCAACCGGGATCGCGGATTCTAATCCGATCGACTGCATACAAGATGCGACTCAATCGGATTCCGGATTTAGGAAGACGCAATAAAGTCTCTTCCGGAGAGACACGCGACCCTATATATAGTTCGTCGATAATCTCTTCGTCATAAAAAAATGATAAACTGTTAAAAGTGTCATTAAGATATGCGTCGATTAAATCTGAGATATAGACTATAGAGGAAATAAGATGTACAGGGTATCCCATAGGAAATTGCTGAAACTAATCAGCTGTCATTTTTCAATACATATAATTATTATGAGGAAACAAAAATTATATTGGAAAGAAGAAAATCTGCAGTTTTTAATGGATATAAATAAAATATTTGTATACTAGTTTATTTTATTGATAAAGAATATTGGAAAAAATGCTAATAATCACGCATAAACTAATGATAGATATTTTCAACAGTGTCAGATTTAATAAGAGATATTAAAAGAATCATCAATAACATTAAAAATGATATGTTATAGAAAAAGATTTTACGAGTTTTCGTAAAAGAACAGAATTTTTTTATACAAATTTAAATGGTGCGCACTTCGAAAATATTTATCATTAGCACTTTTTTCATTACTTTTTTTTAAATAAAATAAACTGGTATACATTTTATTTGTATCCATTAAAAACTGCAGACTTTTCTCGTGTCAACACAATTTTCGTTTTCTCAATAACTGCACGCATTAAAAAATGATAGCTGATTAGTTTCAGCAATTTCCTATGGGACACCTTGTAGATAATAACAACACGTTTCACGAATGATATGGTAATTTCTACGATATTGCGGAGTTTAGAAAATTTACCTAGACCCCTCGTTTCACAGAGTGTTCCCTTGTTCTGAAAATACTCCAGGATGCTCTCCAGGAGAAAACTTATTACGAAACGTTCAATCGAACGTAACGACATTGATAGTTTATGGTATACGACGGTGGACGTTACACGGCCTTTCTAAAAAAGCTTTTATAGAACGTGAAATATTGATGACTAGAAAGTGAGAGGCTATGAAGGTCTTCCTATTCTCTCTATGTTCGCGCCTCACTTGATCGCGCCAAGTCTTATAGTCTATAAGAAACTACGGTTGTGCGTCAGCAGTTTGCGCGAACATAGCGTCAGCCGTTATCAGCAATGATTTATATACTCTCATATATGATATTATCGCAAGAGAATCGTCAGAGCGATCGACAATGCTTCTAAAATAAAAATTCGACGTGATACAGATTTTATACACGGACATAAAATAAATTTACGGTATATTAAACACAACGCGAAATTTTCGTCGTTTTCCCTCCCACCGTTACGTTTTATCAACGATGGAAAAATACAATTTACATAATTATTCGCTGTGTTTCGAATGGCTGAATTATATATGCAACATTTGTATTTAGGTATATCATTTTGTTAAATTCGCTTCGATATTCGATAATTCTCGAAAGATGCATCTACTTATTTTATTCCATTTTAGTCCTTTTTTTTATTATTCTTTAGTTATTTAAAAAAATGTTAAACAAGTATAAAAAATTCCACTTTCCAATATCTATTATTCAACCCGACAATTTAAAAGTAATATTGTCTTTCACTTTCACAGTAATCAGACTTTAGATTTATTAACTTTAACTATCGATTTTGCGGGAGTAATAGTTACATCCGTCGTAGACAAGACCGTAAGAGGATTAAATTACGGTTTATGGTACACAAATACACACATAGTAGTACATCGGGGGATACATATATAGAACGTTGGATCCCTAACGTTAAAGAGACACAGAGCAAATGAGAAACATTCACCCGGAGAGACAGAATAAAGAGGGAAAGAGCCCCTTTCGGGAGAATGAGAAAATACCTTATTGGAAAAATACCTTTTTGGAAAAGCGAGCGCCACATATTTGGAAATCAGATCACGTATACACGTCGCGGAGACGCGAGGGTGGGAGAGAGAGAGAACCCGAGGGAGGGAAAACTCACCGGAGTGGGTGGAGAGCCTACCGGTGGAGGGTTGCGTGGCCGATTGCGGCGCCCTGGTTGTCGGCTCCTCGCTGCTGGGTCCGCTGCTGACCGCGCTGGTCGGGCTCTCACCCCGGGGTAAGTTCGCGTCGCCCAAGGTGCCCCCTAAACTCTGCATGTGGCGCGCCGTCGCCGGCGGGCTCGGGCTCGGCGAAAACAACGAGGCGGCCGTCGAGTACGCGTGGGTCTTGAAGTCCAGGGGTGACACCCACATGTCCTCCAGCGATATCCGGCCTCGCGACTCCACCAACCCGGGGGTGCTCTGGCATCTGCCTATGGCAGCTGCAAATTCGAATTGCGATACATTAGTATCGCGGCGTTTCATTCGCCTATTTACCCCGACACATCAATTTCTGATTGTATATTGGGTTAAATTGGGTATCGTTTTATTTTTAATTCATGTGTTTCCCCAATACACGATGTCTCGCTTTTACATTAAATATGATCTGCAGGAATATAAAGGACGTTCAAAGACTGAAGAGAATATTATTATATAATTAGATGTTTGCTGCGAAAATATGATTAATAAGGTTTAAGAGACGTCGTTCGTCATTATAAAGTAAAGTTTGATTAAGAGGAATATTTAAACCCAATAGGCAGATATTTAATTTGTTCTGTTTTTGGCGACCCATTCTGCATAAGAGGAATTATTATCTGGATACAAATAATTAATATATTCGCAAATATTAATTAATACATATTCATGTTTTATTTACGCACCGAGTTTCGTCTTCGAATAAAATTCCTTTTTACGCTCTACCGGGGTGGCTTCATATTTTAAAAACTACCACGCATCTCCGATGGCGCACAACGAGGAAGAGCTTCGGTATTACCGTCATTTTTTTTTATTCCTATTTTGTTGAAAATGAAACCGCCACCGTGAAAAGCTCAACTGTCGAAGTCGTCGGAATTTTCGATATACATATAGGGGGAAACAACGAGAGAGGAGACCTGGCCATTTATTTAGGAGATATCACTCATTCGTATTGTGAGTTACCCACCCTTCGCGGATCGAGTCGCGTTTACGCGCGTTGTGCGCGATACGATCTATCTGTGCTCTCGAATTTCCGCTTTTGGGGGCCATGTTGACATTTAACCGACGCGCCGACAGTATTCAGTGACATCAATGGTATGTTATTTTGCTTTGACGCGGGTTCCACGATCGTCGAGCGAAATGTATGATCTCTCTCGGTTCGTTAGGAGGTTTCCCTTTTGCGGTATTATCGTGGCAAAGACGCTGCAGGGTGAATTGAACGAAGGAATTCCAAGGAATTTCATTACGGCTTACAATTAGTGGTAATATCTTGGTTCGTACAAAGTCGATAAACACGCAATCGTGTTTCGAGGGCGACGCAGCAGTGAAGAAAAAAATTTATATATTATTCGTCGAGTCATCGGGGTGTAATAATACGTGAATAAATGCACAACAACTTTGATCGTTATGTGGGCTTGTGTGGGCTTCAATCAGTTAAATTAAAAATCCTTGTGATTAAAGTGACCTTTAAATATCACGACATTGTGCAGGGTAAATCGTGGATCAAGACGCTAATTGTAGACGCGACGGTAGATTCAAAAAAATTGTTATCTTGATGACGCACGAGGTGCATTATATTATGCGCGCGATTCTTTGTATAGTTACTTAAATTAAAAATCTATTATATATAAGTTATATAATACATAATTGTATATAATATATAATAATATAATAAAGCGTATATACTCGTGAATTTTTGCAAAAAGTTGCACTTTCGACTTCGAAAGACTTGGCTCGATCTATGGAAGATTCGCAGGGTATTTCAAAAATTTGCGCAGACTTTCAAAAATTTGCAACGTTAAATTAATTAGAGTACATCGCACCTACGGATCAATAAGCATCGCATACAAGTGCAATTTCTTCCTCTCCTAATATAACTCGCCGCCGTAGCTCATGCTACGCATTGCACTTATTACAGCGACCTAATTTCTCATACGTCATCCCGACCCCCATAGAGCAACGCAAAAGTACATTAGCTGCGTGATGTGCGAGATGAGCAGTCGAGTGAGAGTCCATCGTACTGATGGTGATGAATGACGCCTGAGGAGCATTTACAAACGAAAATAAGTTTCTGCAACGCACTCCGTAAGCGGATTATCGTAAACTGCAACGACGATGCTCGTGTTTTTCAAAGGAACGAAACGGATATCCCTCTAAAGGAGATACTCCAAGTATATCACATATTTTATTCAGCTCCGTCTTCATAGCTTCTAAAATACAGCGCATTGAAAATATATTTTATTTTTATATAAAAATATGATACAAAATTATATACGGGGTGTCCCATAGAAAATTGCTGAAACTAATCAGAATTGTGTTGAAAAGAGGGAAAGTCTATAATTTTTAATGGATACGAATAAAATGTATACTAGTTTATTTTATTGAAAAAAAGTAATGAAAAAAGTGCTAATGATAAATATTTTCGAAGTGCGTACCATTTGAATTTGTACAAAATTCTGTTCTTTTACGAAGACTCGTGAAAACTTTTTCTAACATGTCATTTTTAATGTTATCGACGATCTTTTTAATAACTGCTATTAAATTTGGCATTGTTGAAAATATTTATCATTAGTTTATGTGATTAATAACACTTTTTTCATTACTTTTTATCAATAAAATAAACTAGTATACAAACATTTTATTTATAGCCATTATAAACTACAGACTTTCTTCTTTCCAATATAACTTTTATTTTCTCAATAACTGCATGCATTAAAAATGTCAGCTGATTAGTTTCAGCAATTTCCCATGGGACGCTCTGTATAACAAAACATTTTTTAGACGCGTATAAAAAATAATGATTGATTTTTATTGTTAGATTTATACATCTTTTAATTCATTCAATCACTTCTTTGGTGGCGTGCTTCTTTTTCCCCACTTAATTATCTTATTTTAATTTAAGAATGGATGATATCGGATATTTTCTTTCATTTTTCTTGGCTTTTGCCTTCTGGTATTTATGAGTGGACGGAAACGGTGTAACGGTTCCGGGACACGTCTATGTGTATCCGCTCATTTTTTAGCAGAAAACGAGGGAAGAGAGACCGGACCCGCTAAGCCTTAGGCCGAAGTTGATCCGCCGTCCTATCGCGGTATATATTCTGACCGTCGTTTCCGCGTATATTCCGGATCAACGAGACGCCCGGAAGGAAGGAAGGAATTGCTGGGACTCTCTTGCCGCCATTTATCTCCATCAGCTCGCGGCATCGACTTTCGCCGCTGAGTACCCTCCGACCCCGTTCATTCTTCACGGCTTTTACATATGCGAAGAATTAGGTCACGACAACATTTATTCGCATGCGAACGAGTAAACCTCGAGGTAGAGAGATATCGAGAGCGCTAGAGAGATATTCGCCCATTGTGGCGTTTACGCGTTAATTTTCATCTCGGTTTATCTACCCACGCCTTCGGCATTAGACAAATGAAACGTATGGAGGGAACAAATGAAACAGATGGCGAACTCGCAGTACGTGCAATCCAAGGTAGCGCGATTTCTCTAGATTCTAGATAGATTAAAAAATCATTTGAAGTTTGAGACATATAATTTTTTTTTGAAATTTGAATAATAATTTTTAATTAGTAAAATAAAAGAGAAAATAATTTTTTAAAAAATAAGAAAGCACGATCAGAAAACATGAGAATAAAATTCATTATTCGTATTAAAATTTATTACTTTCGTTTCTTCCTCATTATCTCGAATACTTTGCTCTTCTGAAGGATTTATTTTCGAAAATAAATGGTACTTGAAAACTAACGGCGCAGAGAGAGTTCTTCATTTTACAACCCCGTCTTAAGATCGAAAAGAAGTGTGCTTCTTCATATCGAGGAATACAGCGTTAAGTGCCCATTGAAAGTTCCGCGCTTTGAAATATATCTTTCAAACGCTTGACTGAAGTTCAATGACCGAAAATCTTCAAAGACATTAACGTGGGAATATCGACGATCGCGTAGCGCGGTGGCGCTTCAAAGAGACCAGCGAGATGAAGACGCGATTTCCTTGCGCTCTTGCTCAAAAGATTTTCGTCAGCGCGTGTTGGTAATAGGCGCGCGACGAGAGAGAGAGAGAGGGTCGAAGGAGTTTAATTAATCAATCTGGAACTATGGCGCGCGCGCGCGCAAAAGCAGCCACCCTTTGCTCACCCTGCGGTGTTAGGTTGGCGAAGTTCGTCGTGTTACGCACCAAACTTTCGAGTACGATGCCGTTACGGAGAACTGCGGTAAAACATAATACAGTCGCTTATCTCTCGCAGCTTTGAAAGAAAAATATAATTTTATTCTCTTTATGGTTGAGTGAGGTCGAGTTTTTAATCTAACAGGAGGGTTAAGAAAAAAAGAATAAAGAAATTATTTTTCGCTCCGTGGAAAATGTAAAGTGACACAGGGGTTGTTGCGACACCTTCTTTTTTTTATAACCGTGATTTTGGAGTAATACCGAGGAAATAAATACATATACAATTCGAGCAATTTTAATCATTTTAATGCATTTAATCAATTTCAAGTTAAATTTAAAATTTTATTTCTTCTCTCTTAAGAGGGACTTTGTTGGCAATACGGGGACGAGATGGAAAGAGTTAAAAATGAATTGTATTGACACATCTCTTCGCGCGAGGACATCACGTGACGAAATTTTATTTTTCCACCGTTGATATACCAAATGTCCCATTTATTTTTCGAAAAACATTCTGAAAGAAGAGGAAAACCATCAAAAAACGACTTTTCATACATGACGTTTCACTTATGTTATATAATCGTTGCGTTTGCGGAAGAAAAAGAAAACGAAAAAGGAGAAGGGTTAAAAGTACCGCGAACAATTTTTCAGCAAAAATTGAGGTCGAAAATAATGTTTTGAACGACGGTTTTTTTGAAAATAAAAGGCGAGCGATGAGAAAGAGAGACGTTGATAGCGTTTAACCCTCGAGGCAGTCAACTCATAGTGTACATATATACATATATATATATGATCTCTTTTAGGCGCGTGTATGTATTTTATCACAGTTGTCACAAAACTCAAAAGAGATGGAAGAAAGAAGATAAAAAAAAACTGTCCTTTCATTAATCTTTAGCGTGATATTTTATAATATAAAAATTACAGTTCGCAGAGGGAAAGATGAGAGAAAATTAATCTTGACCGGATAAGTTAATAAAGAGTTAATTCAACCTCTTATGAATAAAACTCGAGTAAAACTTAATCAAAAGATAAAAGGATCGTGAAGAAAGTTCGTTATAAACCATGATTCTGTTTTTATCTCGAAACACACGACAGATTAAAAATCATATTTTTTAAGGATCGATTACTTTCGCAAATGAGAAATTTAATTGAAGTAAAATTTGATCACAAAGTAGAACGTTTCTTTTCAGGATATAAGTTGGTTCCTTATATATCGACGATAGCGTCGAGCTAACAAGTCAGATCTACAAGGACGTCTTTACAGTTCAGCTACCTTGAAACGTTACTCGAAAATGTAAGGCTACAACGTATCCGCTTCAAAGACACATCTTTAACAACTATCATTATACACGCCCGAAACTACAATCAAGTGTTCCGCGTCGGTTAATTCGTTAATGCACCGTGCCAGTGTCGAGAGTGTATCTTGATAGAATCCCTCCGCTTTTGGTCCCCGGTTCAAAGTTCTTCGAATAGCATCCGCGCCTTGAAGAACTTGCCTTGTGCCGAAGGCACGTAAACTTCCGCGTCTAGCTATTTTAACGACGATAACGAGGAAAGTTTCAGGCATCCGTAGTGTTTCTGTCGCGGCCTTTAAGCAGGTCCGCGAAGAGCGACACGTTTTGCTGTCGAATTCGAATCTGTTTCGCGTGACTCCGACGACAAGCGAATTGAAAAGGAGTTTTCAGCGTATTTCCGAGACGCGATACGTCTTCCAGATACCGACTTAATTTGCACGAACAATCTTTCATTCACTCCTATATCTAACAATAAGATGTAAAAGTAATAAGCAGAATTATAAAAGAAGGCGTTTCTAACTTTCTCGAATATTTCTCAAGCAAGCGATGCAGATTTCAAGAGTTGGAACAACGTCCTAATCAGCTAATTTTAAATTTGACGCCAAGAAATTTTGCGTTCTATGCCTTTTTTCAATTACGCTGTTCAACAAAAAAAAATAACCGGAACGAGACTAGTCTTTTCTTGTAGTTTTTTGGCTGCCGAATACGGTTTCCAAATTTTTCCATCACGTCACAATTTTGAGAAATTAACTATAAAAAAAACTAGTCTCGTTCCAGTGAATTTGTTTGTTGAACAGTGTTGTATCGATCACTCTTATCACAGGAAAAGGCGAATCTTGTTTCAAAAGGTTTTTTTAATTTTCTTTACATAATAATGTCGAAAGTTGTTTCAACCCGACGTTATAAAAGATGGCCTTATCGACCTTCCCCGTTAAAGAGAAATACGATAGCTGTTTGTATATACTTGATGCGCGCGACGCGCAGAGACGAGACAGGTTCGACTCACCTTTCTCCAGAGGGGCTCTCTTGTACTTCTCCAGCCTCTTGACAGCGATGGCTTCTAGACGTACCCTGGCTGCCGGATACTCCTTGAGCACGTCCCACATATCCTTCTTGCTGAGGACGAAGAGGTCCGAGTAGCCGACCGAGCGCACGCTGGCTGTTCGCCGGTTACCTGCGTCGATGTAGCCATTTATTGGTTATCGGGATGCATCAAGCTTTCTTACGTAACCGCGCGTCGATCGAGATTTTGTTCGCCGCATTTTTACAGCAGATTCGATCGAATGTTCGATCGACCCAGAAATACGCGAGGGAAGTCCCGATACGTTTAAACTTTGTTTCATTTAAGGATTTCTTTGTTACATATCGTTCTACATCCTATAAAGGCCGCGTTTAGCCTCGATAAATCCATGTCAATCGGCTTAGATCGTTTTTCCGACTTGTTAACAGAGGCGATTTAATCGGCCGATCGTTTGTTTCCCGCTGATAAATTGATGGGTGATAATGGCAGATACGAATTAATCGTTGCGCGGCTTACTGTATCTTCGGTTGCTTTTTTTCGCGATTTTTCGCGGAATCGAATGCAGCTGGTAGTTTTTCTCTTAGCGGAGAAAAGCTCAAATTATACGTTAATACACTGACAAAATTATTATATTAATAAATATTTATTGCAATACTGCTTAAATAAATCATTTATTCGAAACAAATACATACCTATTTTTCACATCAAATCAATATTATTGGTTTCATAAATAAATGATTTATTAAGCAGTATTGAAATACATACTTATTTATTCGAATTTAATAAATTATTTTTTCAGTGTATAAAATAGTTTGCCCAATGTGATAGTGGCGCAGCCGAGCCATTATTTGCAATTTTAATTGGTGTCAATGATATTTTGTGCATCAGCGCTTTATAAAAGGACGCATAATGAACGAAGAGAGCGATGCAATTGCTCCAGACAGACGTCCAAAACGCGGCAGTAACTCACAAGCCGGATAAACTTTATATATATTTAGGAAGGAAGATTTAACCGTTAGATAAATGTTTCGTTTGGAAGTCTCGCTTCATTAGTACGCTGCGAATGCACCTGAGTCGTAATACAAATTGTAATAATTAAGCTAAGACGACGGGGAGCTCTACCGTTGATTGAAAATTATGCTTTCGTATTTATGTGTGTGTATTATGTGGGTGTGTATGGGTGTATTGTATTATACCTTTACAGTAATTATAGTATGCGGCATGCGTTTCTCTCTATCACGGAGGGAATTATAAATAGCTCCCACAACTTGTGTCATATATTATTCAGAAAGTTTTCGCGTCTCGAACTGTAACGAAGCCCGTTTCAACCGCTTTCGGTTTCCAACATGCCGGAACACGCTTAGAATCGTTAATTGTACAAAAAATATTAAGGAAATGCCAATTTTGCTGCCGCATTTCTCAAGTATTTGAATTACTTATTTGAGACGCAACTCTTTTTTTTTTTCTTTGCGAGTCCGACATATATTTTCGAATCTGAAAATATAAATAGTACTTTATTTTACAATTTTACTTTCTCAAAATTTTAAAACTTATATTAAATTATTTTTTTGCTAATTTTTATTGTACGCTTATTGCGTTTGATGTTAATCGATAATTTTTTTTATACAGAATATTTTGAACGAATTTTGGCGAATATATTTTCATGAAAAAATGTGTAAGTATCTGTAAGCTTTTTGACGACGTGTTATATCTCATTTATCGCGATACATCGTATATTTTAATAATAAATGTATGTCGAGATGTTTGCTGTAGGTTTTTTTCAATAGTGAACTCTTATCAATTTGCATCGCAAGATGCATTGCAGACTTGTTATACATAATGTTAATAGGTTGCAATAGACAATATAACGTATATATCAATACTTGATAGTGAATATATACTGTTGAAGAGAGACAATCTATTTTGCTTTTTTTGTACTTAAATACTTTCTAATTTTTTTATATGTCTAATTAAATAATAAAGATAAAATGGCAAAATGGATTATCTTCCTTCATGGAGAGATAGAGAGGTAACCAAAGTTATTTGATATTTCACAAGTTAACTAAAAAGACAAAGGATGCCAGAAACTACTATGATCAAATTGTATGCGTATATGTATATATATATAGGTATATATATATATATATATAAATATATGTGATAATTGGCGGATAATCCGAATGCAGGTTAATACATCCGAATGAGAGAAATCAGCACGCATCATAGCAGTAAATTACAATCATCAATAGTAGCCTAAGTCAGGTAAAATGATGGTAACAAACTGTGAGAAAGATATATGAACAGTGCAATGAATAGTAATGTGGTAATATCGCATGAGAGTGGAAACGCTCGTAGAAAGCATTTGTAAATGATGGTCGATCGCGCAATGATAATTTTCGATGGGCGATCGAAACCCATCTACATAAAAGCTATTAATAACCCATAATATATGGTATTAGCCATAAATAAATATCTTGGCGCTACTGATTTATAAGCAAACGAGCTTGTGCTGTCTTTTTTTTTACAAATGCCATTCTTCAATTATTATAGATACGTAACAATTAATAAATATGCAAATGGTAGAGAATAAAACGTGTGACAATCCCAGCGTGACGTGGCAGCACCGATTGTGAGAATCAAAGACATGATGCTGAAAAGGGCGCGACTAAAAATCTGTGAATTGATCCAGAGAGTTTTAAGCCATTTCTTCTAATATAATAGAACTACTAGAAAGCGAAATAGAAATTATGTGTGTACGTGTATGTGAGCGCGCGCGCGCGTGCACACAAGTGGCTAAAATATATATATATATATGTTTTTCATCAAAATTTTATCGACCGGTACGCCTCGCAAGAAGCTAACTCTCCTCGTCCGTTCTTTTGTTCGATCACATCAGTCTGTATATTTCCGAAAAAAAAAAAAAAAATAAAAGAGTTAACAAATAACTCTCCGACGTGTTATCGAACGATCTTTTATTTTTTTAGTCTTTTATTTTTTTTCTGTACCTACAAAGGCGTCACTAAAAATTCACTATAATCGCGTCGTAAGAAAGAAAAAAAAAACACAATTCGATATTTTGTAGCACATGTCATAATTTGGTCGTTCCGGTCGATCTCGTAAAAATAAAAATAAAAAAAAAATAAAATGAAGTATAGAGTAGCCGTGAGAAAGATTGAAGGGTGGAGACTAAAGGGCAATACGTGTCACGGGCCTTGTTCGAGATGCGTTGACGATCTCGCAACGACTATTCCGCCGCTTCTATATGTGTTTGCGTAATTCAATTAACGTTACTGTTTGCTGGATAAGCAGAGCGTTATAAAAACTTGGTTCGGGGCAAGCATGAGCGAGATTCAAATGCGATTGATATGTTGTAACGTGGTTGAAAACGCCTGCAGAATCCGAAAATATATCCTCGGAACGCGATGGATATATCTTGTTATCTACAAGTGACAGTGTATGGAAAACTTTTTTATACTTTTGCTAATATTGCCCCATTTTTTGCAGATACATTTTTTGCAGAAACCGAGTAATCGAAACTTGTGTTTACCGAAAAAGCAAGACAGCCGCTGGCATATAAATAATAAGGAAAATGCTTTATCAACTATCAGAAGAAAAAAAAATACAAAGAATTAAACTTTTTTCTAATTTAATAACAACGCGAGGATCGCGCGCTCAGAAAATCTACGAGAAGGGAATTCAATTTAAAATAGATTAAGATCATTCAGATGGGGCTAAAGTGCGATTCTCTTATTAATTCAAAGTTTCTTCACGGCAAACGTAACGTTCGCTCCTGGAAAAAGAATTTTCTGGAAGGAGTTCTGATAGAAGAATATAAAGTTTGTGTCGTTTCCGAGGCGACTCTTTTTACACACATTGATGGTTTATTTTTTTTTCATTTCGGGAGTCATCGTTCGAGAAAAAGACAAAAGGAGAAAGATGAAAAGGAGGAAAAGAGAGAGAGAATATCGGGTCCTCGAAAACAACAACGAGACCTGCTATCGATCCCGCACGACGACGTGCACGTGCCGACGGCTTCATCCTGATAGACAGAGGCAATAGGATTGTCGATACAGAGAAATTGGAGCGATACTTTGCATTGCCAATCCTCTTTTCACTCTCGTCAGGGACAAACTCCCGGAAGATGCACAAGTGATTGGGACGATGCTTTGGGAGTCGGTTTTTCTATCACGCCCATTAAATAGTGCTAGGGAATAAACAAAAGTGGAAAACAAATATTTTTCTCCCTTGATTCTCTCTTCCTTGCCAACATGCGCGCGACGAATAATTATTATGAGTTTGGATTAGTCCACACTCTGTTATCCAGTCATTTGATATAAAGTTACTATTGTACATATCACAATGGTGAAACGCTAAATAAAACTCATTTTTTCTTGATACATATATAGTTTGCGAATCTACTTATATATATCTTTGCTAGAAAAAGAAACAATTCTGTGGTTTCTTTTTTTTTTGTATTTAAAAAGCGATTATTCGATCCCCATTTTACACTTGAATAATGTATGTGTTAAAGGAGGTAAAACCCGATTCAATAACTAGATTTCACACTAAATTTACCGTAAATTTAGTATCCTATATATTCTGCGACAGAGCCGGCGATAATGGGAAAGTATCGCGTACGAGCAGAAAAATCGTTCGTGGTAGATAATGTAACGTCAATCACAATTAAACTAGAGAAAGTTCCTCTCTTTTCACGAGAAAATATTATTATGCCCCTATAAATAAATAAAATATAACTCGATTAATTATATCCGGTAATTTATTTAGTACCGATACGTAAACTTTAATTTTAAAGATTACGTTTGATTTTGAAAATATTTATGTCGAAATTTTAAAATAAAATTCCTTATAATGCAATATTTATCCCGCGCATTTTCTTTCAAAAACAAATAGTTATAGGAAAAGCCATAAAAATTAATACTATAATATATCGAAATTTCTGCAGATAACGAGAGATACATTGTTCTATATTAATGAACAACAAGGTACATACGCAAGATATACATACATCAACATATAGTTTATTAAAGAAATCTATTTCAAGTATTTTTTTAAATCATTTTTACTTATCGAATCTCTGTTAATTTTTTAAAATCCCATTTAAAATTTTTCTTAAATCTTGTCTATTTTCTTTACCAACTAAAAAAATTTATTGAAATTGAATAAATATTTATTTCAATACTGCGCCAAATAAATCAATTATTTGAAAGTAATAATATTGATTCGATGTGAAAAATATTTATTTGGTATAAAAAATCTTTTTCAAAACAAATAAATATTTATTTGTTCTAAATATGTGATTTATTAGACAGTATTGAAATAAATATTTATTTTTATTAATTTAGTCATTTTTTTCAGTGTGTATACGTCAAGAATCAACATCTTTATTGTAAATTACTATATATATAATATATATATTTTTATATGATTTAATAAAATATATATAATATATATTTTTTCTTTTTTAAATTGTGCAAGACCTATATCGTGCGGCTGTCGTTGCGTGAACGTCAATCGCGATTAGAAGGTGAAGATCGACAAGTGGGACGAGTCTGCGAGAAAAAGAGAGATAGTGAAAAATTGCTAGAGAGATCGTTTTTAGATCGGCTCATACCGGCTCGACGGCTTGCCCTCTCACAGAGTGGTAAGAACGTGAAACGTGAAAACGTGATCGTGAAAAACGAAGGGGGACAGCTCACGGGCCCCTGGTCCGTTTGGAATATTTACCGCACTCTTTACCTGCGGTCCCCATATTGAGAATGCTGATCTCCCCGAAGTAGGAACCCGCCTTAAGGGTGGCGAGCACCGTCTTCCCGTTGTCGGCCACCACCTGCAGTCGGCCCCTATTCACTATGTACATCTCCTTTCCCACCTCACCTGCAATCACGCGAAAATCACATCCAATCAAAATATTAATTATTCCTTTGGTCCCTTCTTATTTTTTGCGTTCAATTTAATCCAGACATTTGTACATATTTCAGTATTTCTTGAAATAATAATTAACTGGTATTAATATATATAAAAACAAAATATTTTATTTTCTTCATTTTAAAGAAGAAAAAGTTTTGTGAGCATACTTGGCAAGGTATCCAACTTTTTATTCATGTAATATTTTTTTTATGAATCTATAAAAATAAACAGCCTTCAGTGTCTCATTGGTCGGAGCAACCATCGATGTACTTGGAGGTATACAACAAGAGCTGGCGTGTCTGTCTATTATATAATAATAATGCTCGTATTACTCCGCTGATACGATTGCCGCCACTGTAACCGCGACATATCTCTTGGTACAGGAACAATAAGAAAAAAGTAGAATAATATAGCAAGAGTTTATTAAGACTTCAGCATATGCGCATCATCCAACCATTGTCTTTTTCTATTTGCTCAGAATAAAAAGAGGAAAATAATAAAAAATAATTATTAGATATATATATTTATTATTATATATATATATATATATATATATATATATATATATATATAACGGCACGGAAAAGGTATATATAATTTATTATATATATATATATATATATATATATATAACGGCACGAAAAATATCGAAGACCGAATAAATTTTTTTGTTCACTTCCTACGACAAAAATTTTTTATCGTTAACAAAACGACCGTCGCACGATCCGTGAATGCAAAAAAAATTATTCCTCTTAATGAGCACGTCTCCTCTCCTTTGATGGGTGATTTCGCTCGTCGCGCGATCATGTCGGAATTATGACGTACCGTTACTACTTGTCTGACTACTGACGACGCATCTCTTTCTTTCTTTCTCTCTATCTTTGCGTCGCAAGCGTTGAATTTTTATTAAGTCGATTTCTCTCTAATATTGGATTAATTTTTTATTTTATTTAATTAAATATATTATATATATATATATATATATATATATATATATTAATATTTATATAATATAATTATATCTATAATATATATATATCTATATATTATCTATATATATATTATCTATATATTATATATCTATATATATTATCTATATATAATATCTATATATTATATTTAATAAAATAAAATAAAAAATTAATCCAATATTAGAGAGAGAAATCGACTTAATAAAAATTCAACGCTTGCGATGCAAAGATAGAGAGAGAGAGAGAAAGAAAGAGATGCGCCGTCAGTAGTCAGACAAGTAGTAACGGTACGTCATAATTCCGACATGATCGCGCGACGAGCGAAATCACCTATCAAAAGAGAGGAGACGTGCTCATTGGGAGGAATAATTTTTTTTGCATTCACGGATCGTGCGACGATCGTTTTGTTAACGATAAAAATTTTTGTCGTAGGAAATGAACAAAAAAATTAATTCGATCCTCGATATTTTTCGTGCCGTTAGCAAACGGAAATTATTCGCGCGACTGCTTACGCTTCGAGAATGAATATTAAACAAGGAAAGTGTCAATCAATATTTCGCTTTTATTTATGCGCGATCTAGTGTTTTTATTTTATGGGTTATGAAATATTCAGAGATATATATATGGGCAAGTCGTATTCTTCGAAACGAATTCTGTTCCAAGCAGATTTCTTGGTATCAGAAAAATGACTCTAGCACATAAATACCATTTAAAAATAATCACGTGAATCGCGTTCTCTACAAGACAAATATAAATCAAAAGAATAATATCTCTCATATTTCGTAACATTAGAGGATCTAAATTAAATAAAAAGGAAACACTCTTTTATATGATTATGACGAATGGAAACATAAATTGATAGAAGAGCGCGATTTTGTAACACAGTATATTAAATTCTGTTGTGTTTAAAAGAAATACAATTCCGAGGGAGCGTTGAAAGACTATACTTGGTACGGTATTGGTCCACATTATTTACGAACTGATCCTCTATGCGACACTAAACCATAAGCAGTAGTTACGCAGATTCGTGTTTCTTTCCTTCGTATTGATGACTGAGCGGCGGTAGTCACTTTTTTGGTCATAAAGTAAAAATATTCACCTACCCTTGGCGAGTCTCCGCTTACGCTATTAGTGACAAGGACGACATAGACGGAAAAAGCGAGAGAGAAAGAGAGAACGAAGGATCATTTTTCACGCCCATAGTACATCGTTTGGCGTCCTTCTAACATTACATTCCATAAGCAGAGCACATTGAATTCAAAGGGAGAGACCGAGCGCGAGGGTAGGAATAAGAAGACCACAAAATGTCTAGGGTTCGTATCCTCGAGGGGCCATAAACGGGAAGGGATGGACGAGGTTGCGACGCGTTGCTCTAACTTACGTGCATTTTTTATTTAAATTCTAACTTATGGTGTTAATTCTCTTCCACGCTAAAGTAGAGTATAAGAAGAGTTTGCATAAAACATTTGACCTACACCACCCACAAGTGCTCTTCCTCTTTCGAGAGGAAGGTGGAGGAGCCTCCTCTCGAAAGAACTATGACCCGGAATCTTACCTTTGCGGCAGATGTAGTCGCCGGGTGAGAAGAGAACGGGCCGTAGTCGCAGCACCAGCTCGCACAGGAAACCAGCCTCCGTGTTCTGGAAGATCTCGACCCTCCTCAGCGTGTCCAGGTGCACGTTTATCGCGATTTCTGCCTTCAGCTTATCTGCAACACGCGAAGGGGATGCGAATTATATAACGCAAACACTTTTACGAGGAAAAAAGTGTTCGAGACTTTAATTTATGAGTTAAAAATATAGGGGAGAACGAGAGAATAATTTTTTACATTTTTAACGCGCAGAGAATACAATTTATATGCATAGAATATAATATAAAGTATTTATTTTTAATTTATTATTTTTATATTTTTTCTTATTTTTCTTAATTTAATATAATTTTGAAATTTTCTTTCTCGATAATAAAATTTTTGCGCGGAACAATTTGTAGACTCGTATAAATACCAGCGAAAGTTGCAAAGCGTTAAAAGATTGTTTTCGTCGCGCTATGTTGCACGAGAACTTTAACCTAAAGTTTTTAAGCGATACGTAAAACTGTTCCAGCGAGCAGAGGTGTACGTGTTCTTTTTTTTAAAGGCAGAGTCTCATTAGCCGGAGACACTTCGTTGAACTTATCATTTGCAAGATATGAAGATCCAAAAAAGCTTGCCGCAATTAGAAGGTACACATTTTGCAATCTCGCACACTCGTTGCAGAAAAAGAAAATGTTTTTCAATAGATATATAATGGATAGTAAAGATGTCGAATCGTCATAAATTGTTTACAGAGCCGTGAAGCATGAAGCCATTTGCCAAGATTTTATCTCGGGCATTCGGAAAATATATTGACTTCAATACACCTATGTCAATAATATTGTTGAAATTATCTTGTTATAGAACATTTTGTAGATTTATGTAAATAATATTTATTATCAGATCGAAATTATCGAAAATTGTATCAAAGAAAATGCTGTTATAAACGTAATAAATTCATTATAAAACGCTATACAATTATAATTTTTAAATATATGTATTATACGAGAATTTATAATAATTTATAGAGACCAATTTTCATTACAGAACCGAAATTTCTCTGATTTTTATATCTACATTATCTTTTCAAGATATATGTATATAATGTGCACAAATTTTGCGAAAGTCCTTATTACTGTAAATTACAATATATATAATTATTTCTCGTTTTGAAACTTAATTATTTTAAATCAAAACCAACTCAGCTCTTGTGATTAAAATCCTGTATCACGGTACAAATATGTTCTTCACTGAAAATGCAATTAATAAGTGAATATCTCTGATTAACTGCCTATTGTAGTAAGTATTGTAATAATTAAGTTATTAATAATTATACACTCTCGTGGAGGCTAATGACAACATAAAGTAAAATTAATATTGACCTGTCAAATATAATTATGGAGTGTTATTTATCGCATGAATCTTTGATTAACACATGTGAAGTTTAGTATTGCTACCATTGTTGTTGATATAATTAGTAACAACATGTGCCATGGAAATTGGTAGTTGACCTAGAGGCACGTCGACCATACACAAGTGCGCACGCTTGTTTCTGTCGTTATTGTAGCTACGGAATTAATGCTAAGTTTTGCAAATTAGCGCTAATTGTGATTACGCAAGCACGACGTATTGTTAAGTAAGTACCAGAGTATGCGGGCATTTTTTGCTCGCGTAAGTTATACAGAGCGATCGATAATACTTCGTTATTAACGCATAATGTAGCCTAATTGCTCGTCTCTGCGTCGACGTAATCCGATTATTATCGTCGCGCAAAAATGTACGTATCGCCTGTTTTGTCATGTGTGTGCTGCTATAGGCTGCTCCGATAAAATTACATAGCCAGCAATTATTGCCGAAATAGAAATCGATTATCATTACGTTACGTTGTCGAGAGAACTTGAAAACTTTTTGAAAAAAACATAATTTGAAATGATCAAATAAGAATTTCAGTTTGGTTGTTCGCTAAGAAATGTCGATATTATATGGAGATATTCGACGTTATTAGTTTCCGATATTATTTTTCGAGTCGTTATCGGTCGCGTTTTCAGCTGCATTTCTCTTTCTCTCTCTCAAACGACATATATTTTGAGAGTATCTTCGCGCCATAATAGCCTACAATTTTTCATCTCATACTAATATTCAATTTTCCTACTCTCTGTTATACGCCGTGCATTACACTTGGAGACTTTACAACTTGCGTCTTATGGCGGGTTTATTGCGCCGCAAAATGCGTCGTTCAAGGGAACGAAACGGTTTCCAGAATGCTGTCCTGGCGCTCGTTTCTTACAGTCACCGTGGAAAGGCTGGTTTAAATTCGTGCACCGCGATGAAATAATAACGTTTCTCCCCGACAACTTTATTTTCCCTTTTAGCATTCTTCAAACTATGTTAATTATTCTTTTGACTATCGATTCTTCGCAATTAAATAAAGTGGATAAATATGAATTAAAAAGTTGGATTTTGCTTGCGTATACCTATTATAAAAGTTGCGATAAATCGATTGAATAAAAAAAAACACAAAACATGTTTTTTTCTTGTTGAAATAAAAAGATTCGCGAAAGAAGACTTAATATCCCTCTCTAAAAAAGACATGTTATTGAGTTTCGAAGTCCTCTCGAAAGTCTCGAAGTGTATTGTTGCCTCTTTTCCACGATGTCGATTGGTTCTCGACATTCGTTACTTCGTAAACGGCTGTCATTATTAATTTTGTTGTTGAGTGATTCGATTACAGTTTTTCAGTTAGAAAAAAACGCATTGAATATATTTTGTAAAATGGAATAAAATTGAAAATAATTGAAAGTTTAAAATATAAGGTATTATTTTAAAATTTAATTATAGCAAATTAGCGCTTAATCAGCTGATTTCTGTCAAAAAGATTAATGGAGTTTAAATAAAATTTATTATATATATTTTTTAATATAATACGGAATAATAGACGCGTAGCGCGCTTGTGTTCTAGTAAATATAAAAATCCGATTACTTTATTATGGTGATTCTTTTCCATCGTAAGAGCCGAGTAATTAAATGATGAAATAATAATAAAAAAAAAAAAGATTGCAAATTTTATCGCTTATGCTAATACGATAAAAACGCTTATTATGGGCGTATAAAAAAATTACTCGACGTTTCCTCAAAAGTGAAATAAAACGTTTTCGAGAGATAAACTTTTCACGAAAGCTTAGAGAAAACTGACAATTTCCTTCTTAGCGGGGATTTGACTTTGCATTAAGCACTGTATATCTGGTGTAATAAATTTGAACATAAGTCTTCCTATGTGTGCATAGCAAGTAAGTCCTTCCTGTTCCTTCTAGTTTATTCGTCCCTGTGTATACACCATATTTTATGTTGCATACAGTCTGTCTTATAATGCATTACGAGCGTAATAAAATTATTATTACGCTTTATTTAGCATTTTAATAGAAAATTTCTAGTAGTAATATCGTTTCTCTCCAATAATCGACGAGTTTCGTTTTTAACAGTCGGCTTAGAAATGTATTCGAGTTTTACGCAGGCAATGAAAAACAGTTCATAAAGTTTACGAAGAATAAACATGCGTATTGTGAACGTAAATGAAAATAGTCATATGCGCGCGCACTATTACTATAAATCAGTAAAATGTAATACGATTATATAGAGCGATAAATATATTCATGTGTTATAAAAATAAACACATTCGCAACATATATAAACAGTAACAGTAAATGTTCAAGCGCAATGTATTCAACGTATGTATGTTAGGTAATGGATTTCAGATTATTTATTATGCAAATTAGTCACGCAAATTTTTTTATTAAATCACCAAGAGAGAAAATTTAACGCGAGGTAAAGAATTAATATCAATTTTTCAATAAAAGCTGCAAACTTTCGGAGTATACGTTTTTTATTTGCCTCTAGTTGCGAAACAACTTGGCGAAAATTTGCTGTACAGCCGTTTGCTCTCGCGCGCGGTTGCATTAAAGGGCGACCGATGTTGGCAACCGTATATGGTAGCCTCTGCTTACGTGTCGGTTTGTTCGCGTTTTAGTTTGCAGATCCTGCCAGCAGTTGCGAGATCAAATGTTTCTCGTGAAATTATATATGCTAACACCGTCGAAAGGCGGCAATATCATTTCACTGCTGTCCGTAAACATTCGTCTCGCGTAACTTGAAATCCCCCCGTTATTTAACTAATATAAATTGCAAGTAAAAATGGAAACTTTTCCGGAGAATTTGCGATGCATGAAGCTGCATTAATTATATGTTCGTTGAATTATATCTTTCTAGAATTGCGAAAAGCTCGACCCGGCCACTTGCGTAGATTTTATAAAATGTGAGACTTATATAAATATAACGTAAAGTTACGTTACAATTCCGCGCGTTTGGAAGAAATTTTCATACATCTCACGTTTATGGAAATAAATTTACGCCAACATCTATATGTTCCACATTGCACATTAATAAAGATAATTGGAAGTTAAAGAGGAGATAAATAATTTTTCGCGTTCAAATTACATTACATATTTACATATCTTGTTCCAACTAATGAAAATTGTTAGTTTTAGTTTTTTTTTATTTGTATCTTTTATTTTTCTTTTTATATATATTTTTCTCTCTCTCGTTTTATTTTTTTTATTTTCACCGTTTTTTTCAGGGAAAATTAAAACGCTTATTTTTTATTAGTTATTTAAATATTAGATGTGTAAATGAAACCTTACCTGGAAGACAACTCACTGCTTTCTCCTCGTCGGAGCATTTCTGCGTCAGCCACAGATAATCGAACCATTTGATAACTTTCACCTGCAAATGGTTCGGCACTCTCCTCATCCTCATGTACGTCTTCACGCCGTCCAGCTTCGCTGCAACCAACATACAATTGTTTTTGTTACAATTTATCATCTTGAGTGACAATTCAATTAAATGTTAACATCTGTGTGAGAGTTTTAATCGTGCGCTGTTTACTTCTTAATCTTTAGACTGTATATTTATATGTATAATATAATAGAATATAAATTACGTAATATCTGTCACACATTCGTTGACATGAAAGCTTAATTCTCTGTAAGCTAATCATGTATATATGATATTGTATATAAACGTTTCCAATTTCAATCAATTATCATTTGAACATCGACAGCCTCTCATGAAACCATCCCGTTTTCCAATTCGCGAACGTGATAGTATGCCATTATATCGCTGAAATGTTCGACGGGTATTAATCTTTGCGGTCGTTTTCGCTGATTAAAGTTGATACGATCACATATCGACGGTCATGTGGCTTCGCATAACTGTGTATAACTGAATAAATATGTTACGAATGCAAAGAAAATCTTTCTGTGACAAAGAAAATTGAATTTTCCACAGTCAACTTATAATAATTCGACAACAACATTATTATTACTCAAAATTAATATTAGACGCTAGTGGTGAAAATAAACTTGGCAAAATTGATTTCGACGTAACTAACAATTTTATTCAATACTTTTACGACGTTTCGACCATTTGGTTGTGGTCCTTATCAAGTGAGAATTCTATAACACAATATTACACAATAGTTTTTAACAATGTTGAAACATACAAGAACATATTTAAATGTTAAGTTATGACCACAAACACAAACATACCCATCAATTAAAATGAACATCATAGCGATGGAACGTGTTCCTCTTTTAACTACTAATTTTAAATAAGATCGGTTTTATGTTGCGTTAATCTCTAGTTACGTCGAAATCAATTTTGCCAAGTTTATTATTATTACTAATTATAGTAATTATCATATATACTTTTTGCGCTTGAAAACACTTCTTTTTTTTTTTGGTTGCATCGAATGAATTATACCGATTAAAGCGTTTGTACGAGCAATTTTTTATCGAGGCAAGGAGCACGTTGCCATCAGATTAATTGAAATGAATGAAGAGGGGAAACGATCCCCTATTCTTTTTCCGTCTTTCCGATGAGAGAAGCATCGATGCGATTTGTTAATGTAGCGAATTGTGCGGCGTATCCGCCATGCAATCGCTGCACGGGTCGCAGATCAATAGTGACGCAGTGAAACGGAAAACTAAGATATCGTTACAATTTTATGACGACATATCTCTCTCGCGATGCTACATATTCATGTGAACAGGTCATTCAGTTACGGCGAAAAAATTGGACAAAAAGATAATTGAAATTAATAATAGTGGCTAAATAATATATAGTAGCGATATATAACATAAAGTTTAAAAATTTTGAAAAGATGAAAACAGATAACAAGCGACGTTGCAACGAATAAGTTTAGATTTGTAAATTGTTAATTACCAGATAAAAAATTAATTAACGTTTAATTCTATATGCAAAACGTCTCCTAAAAATCTTACAATAATTTTACTTGTATGAATAATTTTCAAGCGCACCTGGCATTTCAAATTATTGCTTTTTTTGCACTGTGCTGGCGCAAATGGCTGTAACATAAAAAAAAATCGTAAAATTTCGGAAGGGATGACTGATACGTGTCCGTCGTACCGAATGAGTGATAAAATGTAATTTCCTATGATACGACGAATTTCTACTTGGCAAAATTACGAAATGTAGATGAATTTCAGTTAAACTTTTTGATGGCAAACAGTAATTAAAAGCAAATATTTTGACAACTTTGCTATGCAAAGGGAATCGGATCGTCTGAAGATTTGGTTTCGAATTGTAATAGAGATATTCAAAAGTATATAAAACGGAAGCGGAATAAAATTATACAGAATATGATTACGTGTGGATTATATAAATAATCTCAGCAAGGTTGTGTGATATAATGATCTTCTATGTATAATGTAAAGATATTATTATTTAATTTTGAGTCGCTCGCATTCACAAACTATACGTTTCAAGACTATATAAATATGGATTATATAAGGAACGCAGACTGTATATCAAGAAATGAAACGTCAAACTGTCTCCGAGAATGCCAATTTCTATTCATGTTAAATATTCAATCATCGATATTCAATCGAGCAAGCAAAGAGCAATGGAACCAATAAAGGGGAATGCGTTTCTTTGTCAAATTACGTTGAGCGACTGCGTTCATGAATATATCCGCGATCCGTGCGTATATTTTTTTTCTATATATGTATTTTATGGTATACGTTAAGATAATATTATTCCCTCATAGATATAAAAAAATTCGTTGATCAAAGACTTTTGATTGAGATATTATTTTATAACTGCACGATCCTCTTCAAATTTCAAATTATATACATTAAATTCTTTTTCTTTTGTATATATAATATCAATTTTCATTATATTAATTTTATCATTTTAATTTGAAGTCGACCGGTTTTTGATACGTAAAATTATTTTAGTTTGACGATTGATTTGCCCTTTATTATTTATTGTATTAAATTCTATATAAATATATATATAATCTCTGCGGTATGTATATAAAACTTTGAATCCAGTTAACAGAATATAACTTAAGATTGATAAATAACCATGAGATTTAAAAATAGAGATATTTTTTGCCTCTCTCGAAAATGTATTGAGTTTTCGCCTTTTCGTTTCAGCTGTTCAAATGTTAATGCACGACGCGGTCCAAGGATCCGCAGTGCGGAGTTCACTGCAGCGATCTAACTTTTTCCGTACAACGGGATACTCGTTTCCGGAGTTTCGAGAGTTGCCGTTCCAGGGAATGATCGGCGATCCATGCCAGATATATGTACACCTGCGAAGTAATCAATCCCAGGTATCTGCCGAGCCGGGTCGCGATTCAGACGGAATCTCCGCGAATGGATACGAACGGGGGCGCAATCCGGAATTGGCCGAAAATGGATATAACCGGGGACGCCCGGCTGGCTGGCTTCACCTCGCTTGACTGACAAGGAAGAGGGGGTTGGTTTCCATCGGAAATGGGCTTCCAGCCCCCCATGACCGACGGCCCGTGCCGGCTTCGAACGGTTCTCGGAACGCGGCGCAATTTAACTTATTCCGGCTTCGCTGCTCGCGCGCGAGAACTCGCGTCTCGTCGCCGGGATTCAAGGCGAGAGTGAGACGCAATCCGGAACGAGGACAGACCGATATTGATAATGTATACAGCAACCCGATTCGACCGATCGAGCGATCAAAGGAGCGAGAGGACACCCTTGGCCGGGATCCAAGGAACTGATATTCTCTCTCTCTCTCTCTTCGATTATTTTTCAAGCGGGTTCGTCGAACCGTGTCTGGGTATATCGGGATTTACCGAGGGTGGCGACCCTCGGTGGGGATGTAAAGTTACATCCGGACGATGTCCTCCTTGGAGCGCCTTCGCGCAAGCGAAGTGACCGTATCGAGAGATAGTGTCTTGGAAAAATTATCTGTTTCGTAAGATTATTTCTATCATTCGTCATTTTGAGAATTTCTGCGCGAGACTATTCATTTCAAGTTAGTATAATATAAATTTATTGTACATGTATATATTATATGTATATGCACGTTGTGTAAATATGTGTGTGTAAATATATGTGTTAATTATTAATTATGACTTATTATTAGTTACTATTAATATATTATTAATTAATTATTTATTATTATAGTATAATAATTATTATCCTATTCTATGATATTCATTTTCAGCGAGTTATTGACAATAAGCATTAAAGCAAAAATATATATATATATATATTCATGTTGGAATAAAGTTTTATTTTATTTATAAAGTTTACGTTCACTTTCTTTCTCTCATCGATTTAAAGAAATGAGGGAACGACGAGATGTATTGATATTGTGCGTCAATGTGAAAACGAACGTAAAAGTCTGCCGTTGCATGCTTAATGATGGAACTTTGAAATGTCTTAAAGTCTTAAAGGGTAATGGAGAGTATTTTCGCGCGGCGGTACGAGATCAAAGCGTTGTGATAATTTCTGGCTCGTTTCCAGTTCTGTTGAGAGAACAGAAGCCAAGTTACGCTTATTTCGCGCCAAAGGGAGACTCGGTTCTACGACAGAACGACAAATAGCCATTGTACCTTGAAAATAATCGTATTTTTTTTCAAAAGAAATTCAAGTGGATTCCATTATCTCTTTGTAGGTATTACAAAAGTTTCGCGCGGCGCTCCATCATGTCTGCGATCAAATGATTAAACTTTGTAGAAATATCAGATATCAATTCGTTCGAGAGATGAAGATGCTGAAAATATTGAGTGGTACAAGAGCAGGAAGTTTTCTAAGAAATACAGGGTGTATCTAAATAAGTGCGAACAATTTTAGAAGATAATTCTTTGTCGAAATTTAAGAGGGATTTTTTATATAAACATATATTCTTATATCCCTCGCTGAGGAGTTACACTTTTCTAAAGAGGTAAAAATTAAATTTTTATTTTTCTTTCTTAAAAACTATTGATTTTGCGAAAAAATAAGACATGAAAAAGTTTCTAAAGTAACTTCAAACTTTCTAACGCATATTTTTAGATGATGATATTTCGGTCCGTTAAAAAGTTTTAATAAAAAATTAAATAATGGTTGTTAGTTTCATCCTCTTATAATGATATAGGAATATCGAAAAAATATTAATAAGTATCTTTTTTATTAGTAGAAAAAAGTTTCATTTTTTTAATTCGTGAAATTTGAGAAAAAAAAAAACTGAATATAAGAGTATATATATATATATATATGTTTATATAAGAAACTCCCCTTAACTTTCGACAAAGAATCATCTAAAATTTGTCGCGCTTATTTCGATACACCCTGTATATATATAATATACGAAAAGAATATAAGCGTCAATTGCATCGCGAGTAATTCTTTTCCTGTTTTCCCAAGAGAAGGTTGCAAATTTTCTTGGAAAAATTACTATTCGTTTTTCGTTCTTTTTGCCCCTCGTCAGTTCTGACTGCGATCCCTAAACGACATGC